CATTGAATTGTTTATTTTTAAAAAAATCTTTGACATTATAATTTAGCTTAAAAGTATTTTACTTTATCAATGCCAGAATATGTTATTAACCTAAAAGGTGGATTCAAAATTATTTTTGTATAAGCAACGCTCTAACTGAAACTAGTTAATGATGAAAATGAAAAAAAAAGAATGTAATAATGCAGGACGAATTACGTGGTTATAGGATTCCGAGAACGGGCGGATCTACGTCCCGAAACCCCTTGTCGATTTTGACGACCAAGTGCCGTTCACAAATAATATCTCAATAAAAAAGTTTCTGGACAGAATCCACTAAATAGAAGAAAGGGTTCAAAGATTATAAATTTTGCTACCAAAAATAACTTGAATATCTGCAGTTCAATGTAATCTAGTCATATGTAAATGAAAACTGTCAATAGTTAGTGAACAGGTGTAGAAATTGACTAATTGTCACTAATCACTAACAAGAGATTAAGCATTGTCAAAAAATATTAGTGACTGTAAAGAGATCGGTGTCTAAAAGAGTAAAATTGAATATAGATGAGTTGATTACTAATTTAAACATAAGGCAAACTTTTGAAAAAATAACTACTTCAACTACTCAAATTATATTTAGATGACTTGAACATATAACTACTTTAATTATTTATCCGTACATAAACAAAGGTTCTGATAGCAGATGGTTGACCGAAGCCGAAAAGCTCCCCAGATAACTGGTGAACTAAACAGCACTTAAGAAGTATGATGAGTAATACGAAACTTGCAAGTCTTAAAAACTAAGCTTTAAAAAAACTCTCTGATGGGAAGCAAAAAAGTTAGTCAAGGAAAATAAAAAGAAGCTTTATAAAAAAAAAAATACAGAATTTAAAGTAATACCAATAATATCGAATAATTGATAAACCCAGTCATAACATTTTATCATAGGCTTTACTTGTGCTTAAGCAAAGAAAATTTCAATTAGCTCCATCAAAAATTTCAACTAGCTGATAGTGACACAGGTAGACTCGTGTGAATTGAAACAAATAGACAAGCGGATATTGCTGGATCGAATAGTCTCGCCTAATGGATATTAAAATATGCATGTATTGTATAAAGTCACTGATGTTCCGTTTACTGCATTATAAACATAATGTTTTTTACATAACATATGTGTTAAGTATTATATTAATAATATATTAATTAAAACTTAGAATTGTTTGTTCAATAATAGTTCATATATTTTCCTTTAATTTATATATTAATTAATTTATTATAATTATATCTGTAATTAAACTAATCTTAGTTTCATTAAATAAATTCTCAACGTACAAAACTTAATATTAAATTATAATGCTAAGGGCCAAAAGTTTGCTTATATATGAAAATAAATAGACAATTAAGAACTTCACTCGCTAACTAAATGCTAACAACACGTACGAAATCATAAGCTTTTATTTAGGACAAAATTAAATTAAGTTAATTTAACTAAGTGGCAACTTTGTACCAACGAAATTGAGTGGAATACAATTTAATACGCAAACACTTAAAGTGCAAACGAACTTTGCAAGAAAAAAAGCTATTCAGAGAGCCGTATATGTTTTATAATTGGGAGCAGACAGGCAGGAAGGCACAGGCATGCTTAGTAAGTGACTTTATTTTAAAATATAAATAAAGTATAAAATTATTAAGCTCAAAACGTGCATATATTTACATAAATTTAAAACAAAAGTAAAAAGTGCAAAACACGTGACAGTCCTTAACCGACTCCGCAGTGTTCCTTCGATGTTTTGAATATATAATTTTTACAACAACAATACAATATATTTATTTCAGACTATATTTTTTATACTAGCAGTGTCTTTTAATGAAAATAAGAATTATAGTGGGTTAAAAAACATTCATATATCTGATTCTGTACTCAGTAATATTAAGTATTTAAATTACTTTTTTTTTTCAAGGATCTACAAGATTTATATTTCAAATTTGTAGTTGAGAGATTACGGTTCTTCAGTTTTATAGTATGTCGTGGTTACTAAATAAAAAAAGAAAGAACAAGAGTAAAGAATTTAAAATAACAAAAGGAAACGACAACTGAGCGTAAGATAAGACTAATAAGCAGAGACTACAAAAAATAGAGGACATATCTATATTTGTTTGAACACCGATATAATGATGTAATCGGGAAGCGGCCCAGAAACCGAGTACAACGGGAGTGACTGCATCTAATGCTAGTGCTAGCATTGTCGTTTTCAGTCCAAGTAGGTGCACAGCATCTACGTGGCACACCTGAATAGCCCAACCTTACGTAGCACTCGTTGGGTAATAAACTAATAGTGCGTTGCTCAAAGTCAGGCTCTTCAAACACCATGGCCACAGAATAGACCTAGTCAAAAAATAGATAAAGGACAAAGCCCTGAAGCTATACGCGAAAACTGGCAGGCTGCCCTACACAGCTTTATCTAATCTGAGAGCAATCATTAGCCCTACGGGGCGGTATGCTATCTTAGATTAGTCATCGAATAATCGGCGAAGCTTGTGAGAAATACATAAATTAGTCAAAGAGAAGCACTCTGTAGAAACCCCTAGCGAAGAAAGAGTAAATGTGCCCAGTTGCACTAACTCGAAAAAACCTTAACATAAACTAATAGTGCTTATATCAAATCCTATCCCTAGGATTTTAGGATTTTGGTTGTGCACAGGGTTTGGTACCCGTGTAACGTCGGGTGCCAATGCACAGAAAAAACCGTTGGATATGGCAACCGAACTAGAGCTTGAGAACAACTTTTAATAATAATAATACATATTTAAACAAGTTAATATATTACCGTAGTAGACATAAATATGATAAATTTATGTAACATAAGCAATAAAATCAAGTTGCTCAAATTTTGTTTAGTGACATTGCATTCAATACTATCCACATATTGTCTCTTTATCAGTTAACAATTACATAAAAAGCGACGAAAATTCAATATATTTAACATATATAGCAAAGAGAAATTAAAAATAATACTCGTATCACATATAGTAACTACGTAAAGAGTGCATATTTTTTTGTGAATGCGGACGCTATGCAAGACATTGTACGCAATTAGGCTTTGATGATATTTTACTCATTTGTTTGAAAATGTATTCAATGATCACAATACATTTAGATTAATCGGTATTTAGTTGTGATACCTGTATTTCTTGCAGAATATAAAGTATATTGGTCGCTAAAAGCCGATTTATTATAATTAAAAAAGATAAATATTGTTAAAGAATAGTATAGTTAAATAGTAAACTTAATCAGTTAACTTATATATTCACCATCTGTTGTATTTATTAATTGATTAATGTTATGTATTCACCACCTGTTGTATTTAAAAGTGACACTTGCTAATATCAAATATTCATATAACCGTACTTTACTGTATTATATTTATATTTCAATAATCAATTAAATTTGATGTTATTATTTCATTAATTCTCATGGAATCCAATTTTCCCAATATATATACATATAACTAAAATATAACATTTTCAATTATTGAAATTTCATATTATCGAGTTTTTACTGTAATACATTTAATATAAAATAATTTATATTAAGCTTGACAATATATTCGTATGCTAAACGCTTGAACTGAAATGGGTGGTTCGTAATTTGTATGCATATGTGCATATGTGCGTACGATGCAAACGTTCGTGTGAATACGTAGGAGCGCCATTTATTCAATTACAAATATACACGTTGCGTTGTAATTGTCACACCGGTGGAATGCGTTTTTACTTTTTTGTTCATTATATTTTACATACATTTATTATTTTTTTATGTATTTTTGGTACGTGAGTATACATTGATGTTATCGATTTTCATTGTGAAAGATTATATGTTGAATGCGAAAACTTTTTAGGTGCTTAAAGCATATCTTCAAGTACATTACATTTCCTTTACTCACACTTCACTCAACTCTCACTCACAGATATACTATATGTATTTGTATCTAAATACAAACATTAACACAACAAGAGCATTGGTAACAAGTAAGCATTGTTGTAGTGGCTGCCAGTGTGAAGGGAAATTCTAATGAAAATGAAATTCCTTCTACAAAAGAAAACGTAATTTTTTATTTTTCGCACAAATAACATTTTTTATATCATTTTTAATACATAATTTTCGTAATAAAAACATTAAATTAAACGTAGAACACCGAAAAACCGGATAAATGTTGGCAAAGTGCTTGGCAGAAATAAATTTTCTCACTGTACAAAATTCAATTAAAGTGCACCAAAAAAAAAAAGAGTGACTGAAGGAACACATACCATGAACTGAAAATGGAATTGACAAATTACAACAAAAAAGAAGTAGAAGAAGATAAATAAAAGTATAACAAAAACAATTTATTACATTAAGAGAGCAAAAAAAAGTAAATAAATAGAAATTAACAAAAATTACCGCTTCGCACGTTACGCCAACGACCACAGCACACCGACCAGAGTATCCTGTTTCAGGATACGTTAACTGTTCCACAGTAAAATGATTACTGACTGAATTGAGAAAATTATTATATTTATGAAAAGTGGAAAAAACTACGTTTGTGCGTTTGTACTTTTGAGTACTTCGCTTTTGGCCACGTTTTTATTGTTAGTATATAATTTTGTTTTGTACTGAAGTTGAATGTTTTGTATTGTTCAGATTAGCATGTGTATAGTACATGTGTACATAAAGGAAGTGCTGTAATCGACGACCAAGTATATATAAAAGTGAAACAAAAGGTTATGTGTAGAAATAGTGTAGAAATGCTTTGAAGTTAATAAAAGCAGTAGAACGTTTTTTAAAATTTTTTTTTTAGTTTTTATTAAGTATAAATTTCGATTTACATAAAGCGAACCATTAAAAGTAT